AATATAAGCTTTCATTACAAAATATTGTGAACAATGAAGGAGAGTGAAACAAATGACAATGAGGGATCATCGCCAAATTGGGTGCAAATAGATGAGTGGTGCTCATGGCGCATACTTACATTTTAAATTGCCACTTGAAAGCTGTATCCTAGAGACTAGGCTAAGGAAAAATAATGCCCACCATTCTATTAATTACCTATGTTGTGACGAGTCGTAAAAGCACCGCATTTGACTGTTACGCTCTTCCTTCATTTAGATGTTGTCATACCTTGATAATTTTGCTGAATTGCTTTACATTCTTTGCTCTCGCTTGTCTGATTTCTTATCCCATTATTTCTCCTTTCCAGCCGGAGTAACGAAATCTGTGGTAGCTCATCGAGATCTCAATCCTTACAATATACTAGTGAAAGATCGATCTTGTCCTCGTTTACAACTATGCATTGCGGATTTTGGATTATCTGTAGTCTTTCACGGAGGGCGCATGGGAATAGATGCAGCTGAACTGACCGAGGTAATGTTGTGATGAATATTTGATGTAGTTTGCATACAAATTTTTTACAGCGTGGTACCGCTCGTTACATGGCGGGGGAGTTGATCGAAGGATCGCTGAATTTGTTAGATCCTATGACGTCACTTTTGCAGACAGACGTCTATTCCAGTGCTTTAGTACTTTGGGAGCTACTCTGGCGATGTAGAGATATTTGGCCTACAGATGGTGAGCTAATATTTTTATAGGTTGAAGGGAAAGGGACAGCGTCCTGCTTATCCTACCGTAGTCAAATCCAGCTCTCTGGCCAATTCCTTTTTCCTCTTTCCCGGCTCCTGTCTCCCCCCTCCCCATTTCAGTCGTAAAAATCCCATAGGCCTCTAGAAATTTCGTCTCCAAGTGATGTGCTTTCTTTAGAGCCTCCTTCCTATCGAATTGCTTACGACAATTTGGTGCCAAGAAACCCTCGTGTGCAGGACATGTACCCAGTTGTTGTCAGGGATCGTCGTCGTCCTGATACGCCTCCAAGCGTTCACAAGCACAAAATCTCCGTAAGAAGATTATCTTCAACTTGATATCCATGTGAAAAGCATAGTTTCTAGGGTTTGAGCGAACTATGGTCCTGCATCACCGACATGTGGGAGCATGAACCCGAAGGACGCACGACGGCTGCGTGCTCAGCTGACCGTTTGCGACGCCTACGGAAAACTATGGATCCTCATGGAGATTTGTAAAACGGGGAGAATTCTTGCTGCACACTTTTGGCATTTGCGGACGAGCCCGGGAGGAGAAGGAGAGATATGGTCGCGTTTATGAAAGAGGTGTACTCGAATACAAAACCGTCAGCTGACTTATTGTCACTCTTTCAGAAAAAAGTTCTGACAGTTACCTCTACTGAAAACTTAGGAGCGAGGAAAAAAATGGTTGGAATGTTTGTAAACATGTCCTTTGTTGTCACCGTCTGAGTGTCATTACATAAGTTCCTATTCAATGAATGTTGATCCATGCCTCAAGAAATTTGGTTCCTTTGAAGGAAATGAAGGGTTTCCCAAGTGCCATATTATTTTTGTACCATATGTTTTCATCAACTTGTATGAATTCTACTCCCTAATCATTGTTTCAATACTTTTTCATCTTTATTGTTGCTGGACCAACCTTTTATCTATATATAGATGAAAACCACACTCTGT